TCCAAAAACTAAACAGAGTATTAAGAAATTGAAAATTCGTTAGAACCAAAGAAAGTAGTACTAAACTGTTACCTGATATCTTTCCTCCCCTGTGACAATGAGCACCGGAAAATCTCCTAAGACATGAACAAGCGGCCTGAAGCAACAGAAATGTGGCTCTACAGAAGGATGCTGTGGATATCATGGACCGAATCATGTGATCAACGACGAAGTTTTAGAGAAAATGGAAGCAAAATTGAAACTTATACTTAACATCAGGAAGAGTCAGTTAAGAAGGCATAATGAGGAAAGTGGGCTTGGAAAATCTGATACTCACAGGACAGATTAAAGACAAGAGTGACAGAGATAAAGAACGGACAAGATACTTAGTTTAGATTGAGTAAATGATTAGCGGACAGGGAATACGGGAAATAATAGAAAGATGAAGAGACTTGAAGCAACAGAAATGTGATTCTACAGAAAGATGAACTGTTACGTGATATCTGTCCTCCCATATGGCAGTGAATGTTGGACAATCTCTTCAAAGATCAAGAAGAGACTTGAAGCAACAGAAATGTGATTCTACAGAAAGATGAACTGTTACGTGATATCTGTCCTCCCATATGGCAGTGAATGTTGGACAATCTCTTCAAAGATCAAGAAGAGACTTGAAGCAACAGAAATGTGATTCTACAGAAAGATGAACTGTTACGTGATATCTGTCCTCCCATATGGCAGTGAATGCTGGACAATCTCTTCAAAGATGAAGAAGAGACTTGAATCAACAGAAATGTGGCTCTACAGAAAGATGAACTGTTACGTGATATCTGTCCTTCCATATGGCAGTGATTGTTGGACAATCCCTTCAAAGATGAAGAAGAGACTTGAATCAACAGAAATGTGGCTCTACAGAAAGATGAACTGTTACGTGATATCTGTCCTCCCATATGGCAGTGAATGCTGGACAATCTCTTCAAAGATGAAGAAGAGACTTGAAGCAACAGAAATGTGGCTCTACAGAAGGATTCTATGGAAATCATGGACCGAAACATGTGACCAACAATGAAGCTTTAGAGAAAAAGTTTGAATAAGTGAACATAAAATTGTGAAATTAAAGGATAGGCGTTCATTGTTCGATTTGTTTCTTTATGGTTTATGGTTTATCATCACCTTTTAAGTTATTTATAGCCAGAAAATATTTTTTTTAGATTGTGTTGCAACTTAGGAAGGGTTACTGAAAGAAGAATAACCAAAACGGACATTGGAAATGAAACTTTACCTTTTATAACATCATCAAAATACTATACTCGCCAGCGGCGTGAAGTAGGTAAACCACTACTAGTGGTGGATTACTTATACAGCATATTACAGCCCACTTAGAATAGTGTCCAACGTGTTTATGAGGATTGGGACATGCCCATTAGTGTTCATAGGTACGGTATATAACACATTGTCCGAAATTTTATCAGATAATAAGTATTTGCTGATACTTCTACTAATTAATCCTTAGCTTGGTGTAGATGATAACAAACCGCGATTGGAAGTAGAACTCAGCTCTCCGACTTCCAATTCAGAACCGTTATCCATTATACCACCCGCACATCCAAGCTTGGTATTCCGAAGTGGTTATCCATCTAGGTATTGAGCAGGCCCGATGTTGATTATCTTCGGTGATCGTACAAGAAAAGGTTTTTCAACGCGATATGGCGATAAGCTAATATTGAGAATTTGAAAGCGAAAAGCAAGAACTTTGTGAATCAGGAGTAAAATGCAGGAAGAATGTTGGAAAAGTGAAGGAAAATTCAAGAAATATGTCGCGAAACTGAAGGAACAAGCAAGAAATTTTAAATAAAAATAAAACAGATGTTAACTTAAAAAAAAAAAAATAAGTGCAAATATTCGAAAAAAAAAAAAGAAAGAGGCTGAACAACGTTGCAAAAGGCAAAAAGTGACGTGTTCGGTCGGGGAACAAAGATATAACGTTTCAATGATTGAGAACTCAAAGGGAGAGCAAGGTTACGGGAGAATGAAGAAAGATCAAACTGAAAGGAACGCGCAAACAACAAACATTTCAACCCCTCACCATGTCACTTGTTTCGTTCATTTTGATGTTGAATTTGTGTCATTTTATCAGAAACTAAAAAAGACTCAGAAAACTCAGCATATAAGAGAGAAAAAAAAATTGTTTGTTTCGGTCAGATGAAACATGCGCCAGGTATTTGAGAAAAAACAACTCTACTCTACATTTATCCGATTCGCTCCAGAACTGGGAAGGTCATGTCTCTCCACGATTTTCTATCTTTTGTAGCCCTTAGCAACGTTTTTCTTTTAGACATCCTGCTTACGATCCTTTCCGACATCTATTCACACAATCCTGGTCACCTGCTGTCTCTAGTGCATTCGGTGTGTTGTGCGTGTCAGATTCTCCAAGCCTTCTTTCCTCATTATGTATCCATGTAATTATACTATCTCTTTCTGATTTTGAGCACAATTATCCGTTATGTTTCCATTTTTCTCCAAGCTTCACATATGTCTATGGTATTCTCAGCAACTATTTGTTGTCCACCTCTCTTTGTCTGTAAGAAAATTTTACAGCATTCACTGCCATATGGAAGGATATTACATAGAAGCTGACAACTTTAATCTATGTATCTAAGGAAATGTTCCTGTTTTTTCTTTCGCTTTTGGAATAGATCTTTTTTATTCCAATGCTGGTTACACTACTTTGGTGGTTCTTAAATAGATGGTAACCTAACCTAACGTTGCACGGCATGCGCGTGATAATGTTCTCGTTTCTTCTCAGACGCATTGGGACTATTAACATCGGATATTTGAAGCTGCCATGAGAACTGAAAATTCATGCCGTTTTCTGTGTTTAACCGCCATTCATAAAGAGCCTGAGATATTAAACTTCTTGACCGTGTTGAAGTGAACGAGGATATCGCTACCATATATGGGCAAGAGCTGCCCAGCGTTCGCTTTCTCGTCTCGATAGAGAGCAAAATCGCCTCCTTTTCCTTTTGATTGGCGTATTATTTTCCGTTCCGTAATCTCTTTCTCACGGACGAAACGTAGCAAGTCTTCCGTTGCTCTATCGCTATTTCCATGGAAAGTATACTGATGAAATAAAATCCTTAGTTCCACCAGTTCTATCCTTCACACCTGAGACCCGCAATACGACCCCGCATGGTAGCAAAACACCCTCATTCCCATCGTATTCCATTGCCGAGATCTAAGTCCTCTCGTACAGCTTCTTCCCACGAACCCCTCCAAAAGAGGATGCTTCCGCGATCACAACACTCTTAACCTGTTCATGTAATAGGGTCTACTTTTAACCTACATATGATCATAAACAGTCATTTTATTCTATATCACACTACCTCAAGTGGTTCTTGGGCCTAGTACAGGGTCAGGATCATTGTAATTGTATAATCACAGAAGTTTAAATATCTAGGAAGTGTTTTAACAGCAAACTGAAATTATAAACCGAAATTTGAAACCACAGCAAAATAGCAACAGATACATTATTTACATTACTCGGACTATTGTCCTCATCTTTGTTGCCATATTTATTACAACATGTCGGACGTTGTGCGCTCCGGCCTTCTTCAAGTGGATGGAATGTCGAACTTAACCCTTTATTTCACTCACTGGGGTAGACTGTTCTACTTCCACGTGCGATGTTTAATGGATATCAGTTATTAATTAGCTCCTGTTAATTTCCCTCTGAAAGTTCTCCAATGCCTTAACCGGGTATTGAACTCGCATTTTTTGTCACTGTCACTGGCTCTAACCAACGCTTTTATCCACTGTACCATGTGTCCGAATGTAAATAATGTACATAATACCTCATCCCAGAAATATAGACAGCAACTGATACCTTTTAGAATTTGAATAAAAACATAAACGTTTTCCGCTGACATCAAGTGGAAAGATTATATTGACTCAACTGGTTCACGGTGTCATCCTAGACACTTTTTTCTCGACAGAAATTATCTTTTATATTTATAAGTCTACCACTGACCCGCGCTTTCAATATTGATGGCTTATATGGCCTGTTGCTCCTGTAATATATTTAAATACTCTTGATAAAATTTAAAGAAGAATCTGCAATGTTATTGGTCCTGGTCTTGCATCCCGGCATCCAGCCACTTCCCCATCGAAATAAAATAACTTCCTTGTGCCTTTTCTGTAAATACTTCCATGATAATTTATCCGATAATATTTCATCTGTGGTAGAATTTATAAATTTAAGCACAATATTAGTTTGGCGGCAAGGTCTCACTAATTTGCAGTTGAAATAACTAGATGTAACCGTAAGTTCTATGCTAACAGTTTCTTCTATGGCACTTCTCGCTTGTGGAAGTCTATTTCACCTTCTTGCCTTCCAGTCAACTGTGATCTTCAACAATTTAAATGCAATGCCGATATTTATCTTCTGTTTTCTTAATTCTGTTCTTTTATCGTTTCTCACCCCATAATAATATTTTTTTTTTTACCATATTTTCTTTAGACCCATTAAGCCCTTTCGTCCCAGTGGCTTTCTTGTATTTCTTGGCGTGAAAAAGATTTTTTTTTGAAAATAAGAAACAGGGAAATTTCGTTTGAAACTGCAAACGAATGCTGAAAGATTGTAGTGAAATATTTGGCAAAGATGTAGAAAAGACTGAGGATGCGAGAGATTTGTGCTTCGACAGATTGCTTCATTTGATATTTACGGCTTACCAACATTTTGGCGGTTATTTAAAGCGAAAACATATTTTAGATTATAAAAATAATACATTATTATCGTTTTTTTTTTCTTTCAGTTCCTCAACATTTTTCATGCTTTTTATTTCAGTTCTTAAACATTCTTGCTGTTTTTTTTCAGTTCCTCAATGTTCTTGCCTTCCCTTTCAGTTCCCCAACGTTTTTCGTGCTTTTTCTTTCAGTCCCTCAACATTCTTGTTGCTTTTTAATCTTTCTTTCTCTTTCAGTTCCTTAATGCTTTTGGTTTTTCTTTCAATTCCTCAACGTTTTTCATGCTTTTTCCTTCAGTCCCACAATGTTCTTCTTGCTTTTTCTTTCAGTTCCTCAACATCCGTGTTGCTTTTTCCTTCAGTCCCACAATGGTCTTGCTTTTTCTTTCAGTTCCTCAACATTCGTGTTGCTTTTTCTTTCAGTTCCTCAACATTCGTGTTGCTTTTCTTCAGTTCCTCAATGTTGTTCTTGCTTTATCTTTCAGTTGCTCAACGTTTTTCATCCTTTTTATTTCAGTTCCTCAACGTTTTTCATACTTTTTTTTCTTCAGTCCCACAATGTTCTTCTTACTTTTTCTTTCAGTTGCTCAACATTAGTGTTGCTTTTCTTCAGTTCCTCAATGTTGTTCTTGCTTTATCTTTCAGTTGCTCAACGTTTTTCATGCTTTTTATTTCAGTTCCTCAATGTTCTATAGTTTTTAATTTTCACAATTTTCTTGCTTTTTCTTTCAGTTCGTTAACCTTTTTTAATTTTTTTTTAGTTCCACAGTGTTCTTTTTGCTTTCCATTCCAGTTTTTCAACGTTCTTCCTGCTTTTTTCTTTCAGTTCCTTAACGTTTTTCATCCTTTTTTTCTTCATTTTCTCAGTGCCATCCTTACTTTTTTTCGTTTCGATCTCGTTGTTTTTTCTTTCATTTGTTTTTTCCACTTCCTTGATTTTAATTTCAGTTGTTTTGCTTTTTTTTATTATTTTCTCTTCCAGTTCCTTCATATTCTTGTCCTCCATCGATAACTTTTCTCTTTTGAAACGCGTCGGAAATAATTTCACTTATCACTTTTATAATTCCTTTGTTTTCTCTTCCTCTTCTCTTTCATTTATTCTTTTTTTTCTCTTTATAGTTCTTTTTCTTTTCACTTGTTTTTCTCTTTCCTTGTCTCCCCATCTTTTTAACGTATTCTTTCAACTATTTCTCTTTCTATTTTATTTCTGTTTTTCTTTTTCTTCTCCTTTTTGTCTATTTTTTTAGCTTCTTTCTTTTTGTTTTTCCTTCAGTCTCTTGCACCGTTTCTTTACTGTTATAATAATTTTTTTTTTCTATTTGGCTTCTTTTTCAATCATTTTTCTATTTCGTTTTTCTATCATTTTTTCTCTCTTTCTTTTCATGTTTTTCTTTCACTTAATTTTTCATTATTTTATTCTTTCGGCCTCTTAACTGCTGTTTATATATTTATTATCTCCTTTTTTCATTCTGTTGTTTTCTCTTCTTCTTTTTTTTCTTTCTTTTCTTTTCTTTTTTCCATTTTTTATTTTCTTTTATGTTCTTTTTCGTTCTTTATTTTCTTTTCTCATATTATCTTCTTTTTCATTTTTTTGTTTTCTTTTATTATTTTTCTTCTTTCTTTTCTTTTCATTCTTCCATTTTTTTATTTTCTTTTATTTTCTTTTTTCTTTTCCCGTAATATCTTCTTTTTTATTTTCCTTTTCTTTTGTATTTTCGTTTATTAGCTTCTTTTATTCTTTCTTATATACTCTTTTTCTTTTATTATCTTCTTTTTATTTTCTTTATTGTATTCTTTTTACATTCTTTTTTCTTTGCATTATTTTTTCATTCTTTCAGAATTTTTTCATTTATTTTCTTTTATCATCATCTTTTTCACGCTTTAATTTTCTCTTATTATTTTTCATTCTTTTATTATCTATTTCATATATTTTTATTATCTTTTTTTATTTATCTTTTATTATTTTATTTATTGCTTCTGTTCTTTTATTTTCTTTTATTTTCTTTTATTTTCTTCTTTTTTCATTTTTTCTTTATTTCTTTTATTTTATTTTTCCATTTTCTTTTATTATCAGTTTCTTTATTTTATTTTATTTTCTTTACTCTTTTAATTTCTTTTTTCTTCCTTTTCAATTTTTATTTTTTTCATTATTTTGTCATTCTTTTATTATCTTTTTCATGTTTTATTATCTTTTTTTCATTTTTTCTTTTATTATTTTCTTTTTCATTGTTTTTATTTTCTTTTAGAATTTTATTTTATTTTTTCATTCTTTTTATTTTATTTCTTTTGTAATATTTCCGTTTTCAGCCAACTTTGCATTATCTTTCTTTTGTCAGATTTTCTTTTTTATCTTTTCATTCACTGATTACTTTTCTTTTCTCTTTTTTCTTCACTTTTTGAAAAGTATTTTTAGTCTACTTCTTCCAATTTATACATTTTTTTCATTTGTTCAGAGGCCTTAGAAAATTTGAGACTCATATTTGAATCAACATTCTAAGTTCGAATCTAATGTATGCATCGATGAGGTTGAAGAGATTTTTGTGTCCTCCACATCAGACAGGTCTAACGAGAACCCCAAAACAGAGACATTTCAAACTTCCTCAATTTTACAAAAAGACAAAAAATGAGACACCCATTCTATTTACACTTTTACTAGACTATGCCGTTTGTATGTACTGGCACATATGTGAAAAGATGGACACTGATCCTTTAAGCATGCCAGAGATCACGTTTTCCTTTGCCAGGAAAATCAGCTGAGGATGAAGGCTATGCTGATGACATAGGTATTCATAATTAAAATGAGAAGGATCTTGAACAAAATATCACATCCTCTACCAAGTATTCCAAAAAATTAGGCTCAAGATAGAACTTTCCATAATGGAAACTATGATCTGGAATTAAAATAAAAGCAATGGAGGCATATACTCTTAATACCAAGAAATAGAACTCAAGATAAACCTTCATACACGTCTGACGATTACCCCAATACGGAGACGTTTCAAACTACATCAGGATTACCACACGACAGAAATGAGAACCCCACTCTATTTATTCATTTCCTTGACTATGTCCTTTGTATGTACAAGCACATATGTGAAAAGATGGACACTGATCCTTAAAGTATGCCACATTATACCCTAAACGAATTAATTAATAAAAAGACAGGGATCACGAAGTCCGTTGCCAGGAAAATCAGCTGAGGATGAAGGCTATGCTGATGACATAGGCATTCATAGTTGAGATGAGAAAGATCTTGAACAAAAATTTGACATCCTCTATCAAGTATTCTAAGAAATTAGGCTCAAGATTGAACTTCACGTGCGATTTCAAGAAGCTTAAAGAGAAAATAATGATATATCTATTTTAAATGAAAGGTCGTGCGTTCTAATGTAATGGATATCGGCTCGCAATGAGAACACGGAGAGCCGAGTTCGGATTCCATTCGAGTTCGTTATATACACTTACGCTCAAATACCCTTTGGAAAGATATGAATGCATCGATCCTTCAAGCTATGGGTTAAGTAACAGGACAGACTGGGTTCTGTAGCCTTGGTTGGCAACCAGTCTACCGCAGAAAGAAATGGCAAGCTTCTGAAGGAGAAATCTTTTGCCTTGTCAGTCATGTATCGAAAGATGCATGATCACACAACCGTGTATCACGTGTTGCATTTAACTGACTGATTGTAATGAAAGATGTACGTTTGAATGTATGCAGACTCACATGAAATAACTGCTAAAATTAAAGATTTAATTTACCTGCATTCATTTTATTATACAGGGAAACTAGTATCAAATTAGACTCTGTAAGTCATGAAAAGAGCGATAACCTATTTCCTGAACCATGGTAATGTTTCTTTGTAGCAAAACTTTTGACAACAGGGAAAATCACTTATTTGTTAATGAATCAGTTTCATTTTTTAATTGAATTCTTTTTATCAAGAATTATTGCTTTCGGATTAGCTTTATCTCATTGTTTACAAGAAGATTATGTCACTAAGAAATCTCTCTCTCTCTCTCTCTCTCTCTCTCACACACACACACACACATACACACACGTACATATACAGGATGTCCATAAAGTTCGTGTGCACTTTAAAAAAATATAACTTTATTTGTATTTGCGATAGAAATAATCTGGAAAAAATGTTATAAAATTTAATGTACCTAGTTTTAAGTATAGCTAAAATAACTAATGTGATTTCAGGCATTACTGTAAATCAGTTGGCAAATGTTTTCTGTGAACTGCAAAATCGTATTACCCTTTGTATTGCTAATTGTTATGGTCCGGTTCCTTGTACCACGGTGATAGTCCAAGGTAGAACCAATAAAGAAGAACTCGAACACAGGTATGGAATAACACAGATATATTACAAACAGGAATATATACAGAGAAGTAGAAAGTGTTGGTACGAACAATCAGGTTTAGTAATTGTCTGAACGCCACTCTGTTTCGGACTGCCTCTGACTCGACTGACTGACTCGCTCGCTCTGACTGACTGACAGACTCCTGACGGACTTCATTCCAGACTTCAGACTGAACAGTATTTAGTCACCCCCTCCACGAGGGCATCATGTGGCACAAGGCCGGTTTAACGTGGGATCTCTGAGCCCGTAGGCTCGGCCCAAAATATGCCCTTTTAACTCGTATAAACGGGTTCAGGGTCGGTTTACCTCCCCGAAAGAGACTCCACCCTCGTTCGGGTTCCTCCCCGCCCGAAGGCAGAGAGTTCAACCGATCAGCTGATCAGCCGGCCGCCCGTCTTCAGACTGAACTCTCTGCTTCCTCTTGAGGCGCCGTATTTATTACGTATGGAATAGTCCATTATATTATTATGGGGAAGGTCCCATAACACTAATGATGGAGTATATGTGGAAATTTAAATAAAATTTCAATAAAACCTTAAAAAATATAGATTGACTTCTTTCTAATCTTTTTTACAAATTATTATATTATAACCTGAAATTCTATGTTACCGTTTCCTTCTTTCGTTCTTGCTTCTTGTCGAACTCTCTTCCGGTTTCATGTTTTACAGCCAACTTCAATATTTGAAAATTTAAAAGCAATGTCAGTCGTTCTCTACTGTCTCCTTGATTCCTCTTCTTTTATTGTTATCCCTCCTTAGTGACGTTTCTCTTCTTCTTCTTCTTCTTCTTTCACTCTCAGTAACTTCTTGTGTCTTAGTGGCTTTACTACATTGCTTGGATGGCAAAGACTGAAAAAGTGAAGACACAGTTGTCAAAAGGAAAGTGAACGTTCTTGCACGATAGGGCTGACTGGATTTCATAATTATTTATGCAGTCAGTGCGATGATAACGCATTATTGCTGGACGGAGGGCTTTCTAGACAAAAGTCAACGACCCAGGAATATGCCGTGTCTCCAAGTTGGACGAAATTGGCTGTGGTTTGAAAAGGAATAAGCTTAGTCAGAGATGGATACGCAATGTGGTTGGCTCTGATCTGGCATCTCGTTTACACTCGCTTTCTCACAGACGTGCCGTCGCCTCCTTCTGTCTTTTCAACAAACACTTTCACAGTAACTGCTCCGACGAGCTACTTTCGCTAGCTCCCAAACTGCATGAATTTAAACGTACTATTAAGTTGGTATCTAAGTCCCACACTGTCACTGTCGGAACGGTTAAATTTAGCCGTCTCTTCCACTGCAATAGCTTCATGTCTCGCACTTCCTGTCTGTGGAACTCCCTTGCTCTTACTTGCTTCCCTGATAGCTATAATCTCGAACTATTCAAATGCAATATCAATCGACATCTCCAGATACCTTGATCTATTCCCCTTCCTTCTCGTCATCCTTTCCTCTATCACGCCTTTTTTACTCTTACTCCCGCTCTCTGTAACTCTTTGCGTGCTAGTGGCACTCCTGCCTTGCTTGGGGTGAAAAGCTTTAAACAAATTGCTTGTTACGCGCTACGCATGCATGAATACCTCTCCCACTTTCAACACAGATACGCGGAAGGAACTATTCAAGCGAGAGGGGAAAACTCTACACCGCCAATTCAACAACGCCGCCTCAAAAGCACCGACTCGACGCCGCCGACTCAACGCCGCCGACTCAACACCGCCGACTGAGCACCAGGATAACTCAGAACTGAAACAGCAACAGAAATACTTTTTTTTTCTATAACCGAATAAATGTAATTTGTAAAGGATTAAAATCTTAATTAGTGAATATTTTTCTTCAAATAAGGTGTTTTAAAAGGCATTATGTACAACAGGAAGTTTTTTTTTTTGTTTTTAATTATTTTTAATAAAGTATATCGTAAATTCTTAAATTATTTTTTTAATAGAAATATTTTAGCTTTTAGATTTACTTTATTAAAAATAAATTACATTATAATTACTTTATTAAAAATAATTAAAAACCAAAAACCTGCTTCATTTTGTCTTGCATTTTTCGATGTACTTTATTAAAATTAATTAAAAAAAAAACTGTATTTCATTGAATTATTTTTTATATGTCAATTTACTTCATTAAAAATAAATATTTTTACGTTTGTTTAACTAGTCGAATGCACATGAAACATGATTAATCAATGAAAATCAAACAAAAAATATTAAAAATAACAGAATTTCTTTCCTCGTTTTCTTCATTCTCTAATGAAGCTTAAATAAAAATGAAATATTTTATATTGATAAATGTTTCCTATTTTTTCTTTATCTTATCAAATTTGTGAATCTAAACAAAATGGGAAACGAAAAGTAAGAAATTTTAGCTAAAACCGTTTCCTCTAAACTAAATTATTTAAACCTCACTTTGGTTACTTCATCAGTACTGGGACAAAATCCCAGCATGCACGTTTCTTATTTTGTTTATTATTTAAAAGTGAGAGGTTTCTGCATCAATTTATGATGCCTGAAGCGTCACAAAATTGAAATTTCTAAGGGAATTGAGTAATTTCTGGAACCATCTGCATGTATGCATGCGAAGGATCTATGCAGATTTTGGTTCAGAATTGGTAAATTGATAAATAGCTTTTTGTAAATGATTTGCGATACCAAATTAAAACAATATAACTATCTTTTTATAGAAAAGCCATTTTTATATTTACCTAGGAAACTTAGCTTACTTTGGTATAAGATCACAAGTATAGAACAATCATGTTGTTCGAATTCAATAACGTACAAAAATGTTTCTCAAAGCTTTCGCTTTAACTAACATTCTAAAACGATCGTTTAATGGAGTTTCTTGAGCAGGCTTATAATTGTTTCTTG